ATCATCTCACTCTCTACACAGCTGCATTGTTGTCAGAGAAGCCACTTCAACATAGCATGTTTCCTTAATGATCAGAGAGTAAGATACCTTTATCATCTCACTCTCTACACAGCTCACTGATTGGACCTTTAATGATCAGAGAGTAAGATACCTTTATCATCTCACTCTCTACACAGCTCACTGATTGGACCTTTAATGATCAGAGAGTAAGATACCTTTATCATCTCACTCTCTACACAGCTCACTGATTGGACCTTTGAATGTGAATTCATAAATCTAGTAATGACACAAACACTGGTTGAAGAAGTTTTGTTGTGTGTGTGTGTGTGTGTGTGTGTGTGTGTGGTGTGGTGTGTGTGTGTGTGTGTGTGTGTGTGTGTGTGTGTGTGTGTGTGTGTGTGTGTGTGTGTGTGTGTGTGTGTGTGTGTGTGTGTGTGTGTAGGCTCAGCTGCTGGAGCTGCGGACTCAGAACTACCAGCTGTCTGATGATCTCAGGAAGAACACGACAGGTAACACTCACCTGTGTGCTTTCTATGTTTACTGATGATGATGTTTGAGGCGTGGGCTGATTCCAGGTGTAATCAGCTCACTATCAGGTGATATGAGGTATCAGCTCCAAGCTCTTATTCTTACTCTGCTGAGTAAGCTGTTATCCTGCACAGGTGATGTGGAGCTGCCCATACTTACAAAAAGGTGGTGACCTCTAGTTGAGACTTTGGTGCTTTTACGATACCTCATGTGTTTGAGACCCCGAGCAGGAATAACAGTATATATAATAGATGGATGACCTGAGTCGGTGGTGACATGATAACTCTTCCTCAGTAGTGTACGTTCAGAAACAGTTTCTGTAACTTCTTCTGAAACAGGATCTAGTGAGTCACCTCGAGTCTTTGCAGTACTTTTCTGTGTGTTGAAACTTTGCTGTAAACACTGAACCAATCGTTTGTAAAAACACAGATTTGACCAACTTCCTCCTTCAGCAGTGACATGACCGTTAATGCTATTTATAGAAACACAAAGAGATCATTATTGTCTTACAACAATCTTAATAAACAGATAAATACAGCTGCTGTAAAAATCAACACTAACGTACTCACGTTAGAGCTGAGAAGTTAAGGAGATAGAAAAAAAAAAAAAAGTTCTTACAAGTTTGTACAGGTTGCACTATTTCAAGTATAGTTTTACTTTTATAAAAGGAGGCAGATCAGAGAAACAGAGAGGGAGAGAGTCTGGTTTAAATTCTGTTTTTGTGCGTTTCAGAGCTGAACGCCATCCGTCAGAAGAATGTAGTTCTGGAGAGAGATTTCATCAAAGCACAGAAGGTAAAGAATATTTATTATAAAAAAATATTTATTCACTGTTGTTATTTAAAACTACTCAACAAGAGTCGATGCTAAAAATGATTTATTTTCTATAAACAAACATTTAGATTTTGTAACTTGTAACTTTTTTCTGTCAGAGTGATGAAGAAGCTCCTTTTGTTCTGTTTATGTTTATTTCCACATTTTGTTGTCTCTGCAGGCTTTGAATAAAAGCAAGAAAGCTCAGGTGAGTGTTCTGTTTGATTACTGAAGGTTTACACAAATCATCAGCTCCCTCTAGTGGTCATCAGCTGTACTACACACATAATGTACATCTGCAGATTAGCCTTTGAGCTAAACATTTCTTATGTGTTTTCATTCTATTCAACCTGTTAGTCCAGTGAAAGTTATCTTTGCTGAATATGGATTTTGAATTTAAAGTAACTTAACTGCTTTTTTTTTTTATTTTAGCTCTCGTCATCTTTGTTGAAGAAGTTTAACTATCAAATATGAGCTGTAAATGTGTAACATACGGTGGCTGAAAAGTTCAAAACACAATTATGAAACACTTTTATGAGAGCGGAGACACATCAGAATACCAAAAGTGACCCAGAAGTGAGCGGTCAGTTAGTTTGTTTTGGTGTAAAGACTGTGCAGATGTGTTCTAATGAGTTTATGGTGACTGAATGAAGTAGTTGTAGTTCGGTGGTTTGTAGTTATGTTTTATAAAATGTAAAAATGTTTTCCAAAATGTAAATTTGTCTCATGCTTTGTAAATTTGTTTTGCACTTCCCAGCCACCATAGTAACCCCACATGTGTTGTTGTTGTTGTTGTTTACTGTCTGATGCAGGAGGTGGAGGCGTTGCTGAGTGAGAACGAGATGCTTCAGGGGAAACTTCACAGTCAGGAGGAAGACTTCAGACTGCAGAACAGCACGCTGATGACTGAACTCTCCAAGGTAAAACTCATAATCTGGTCGGTTTATTTTCTATTCAAAATAAAAACAGGTCGATGATTTGTGGCTTTGTGTGCGTTTTGATTTGTGTCTTAGTCACAAGTTCTCGTGTTTGTAGCTCTCAGTTCAGAGTAATATGGTTTATGTAGCGGATGCATTAACCGCTCCGACCATCCATTTTCCAGCTGTGTACGCAGATCGAGCAGCTAGAGCAGGAGAACCAGGGTCTGAAGGAAGGAGGAGGAGCCGCTGCATCTAGCCCCGCCCCCAACTCCACCTCCAGCCCCGTGGATGGAGAGCTGCTCCGCCTGCAGGCTGAAAACTCCACCCTGCAGAAGAAGATGAAAGGTATGCAGTTATTCTCTTAAAAGGAAATGTGTTCAAGAAAAAAACAACAACAAAGGACCCAAGGTAGAGCCCTGAGGAACACCACAAGTTCACAACAGTCCTACAGGTGAAGCGTTTTTTTGGTATGTGTCAAAAATAAATCATAAATGCATCCTGTTCCTCCTGCAGCTCTCCAGGAGCACCACGACAAAGAGCTCCAGAGACAGGCGGCCGCACATGGCGCCAATACAGAGACGGACGGGTCGGCCGGCGCCAACGGAGTGTCTGATGTCACAGGGAGAGGGGAGGAGCTAGCAGCAGAGGGAACCAGTGACAGGACAGAACAGGTGATTGTTTCTTTTGAAAACCAAGTCTTAATTGATAAAAAAAATCTTAATTCAGGTGATTAAAAAAACTCCTGAAGAAAGCTTTAGGGGTGTGGCATCGGATGTTGTTTTTGGCCGAGAGGAGAATAGAATCAGGGCGTCAGGGTAAAACCGGCGCCCTGCATTGCACCTCGTCGCTCACCTGCAGTCAGGACACTCCGGCTGCAAACAAAAGAATCAAGCTGATTTTGCATGCTAGGACACAATGTAATGGATCTATGCTGCTACAGAAATGTATTTCCTTGGTCCATATCAGCCAACGACAGCAGACAAGTTATGCACTTCATCTTCTGTAAAAACATGTATTTGTATGTTAAGTTTGTCGTCTTCTGTCCCTGTCTGCAGACGTCGGCTCAGCTGGAGCGCACAGACAAACAGCTGCACGGTGAGTTTCTGTTTCTTATTATTTAACGGCCTGTCCCTTTAAGAGAGTCACTCCCCTCTTTGTATGTGACCTTTAAGAACCCTCCGGTCTGATCATGATAAATATACATTATATAGTACGTGATAACACTTCTGATAATGGACACAATCAGACAGGAAACACTTCCTGTATTGACCAGCGAAGGATTTAAACTTCACACAAACAGACTGAAGCGTCACCTCTCCGGCCTCAACATGCTTCGTTCTGACTTTAAACAAACACACTGTGTCTTATTGTTTAACTCTGTCAGATTGTGTCGAATATCAGATTATTTACGACATGTTCAACGTCTATAAAAGTCATTTCTCCAAGAGGGCTTTATATCGTTTTGATTGCTGTTTTGATGTTCGGGTCCTTGAATGCATCGTAAACAAACTCTGATGACTCCTTTTTGGGCCAAAGGTCACGTTAGATGATTGCTCTGCAGCAGGTTTAAATTCTGCAAACTTTCTTTATGTTCCTGCCTCTTAATGAAGCTTGTTAACATGACGTCTCAAATACTGGCTGCTGTTCATCATTCGGATTTAAAAAAAAAAAAAAAATGAATCCCCAACCTCCATTCGATCTTTCCAGTCAATTTGTTTTGATTACTCTGAGAATTGTTTCTGAATGGCGGCCTCTACTTGAGAGTGAGCGGTGAACCTGCAGCCTGGCTTTATGGAAGCGTAGAGCAGCTAGCTGGCTCAGGGCAGACACACACTACAAGCTGACCCCGTGGCCAGTGACTCTAAAGGTCAAAGGTTACAGTGATGAACTTTAACCTCCAGAGTTTTTATGGCACAGCTGCAAAGCCAAAGTTTTTATAGATGTTTTTCAAACTGTAAGTCAAACTTCACTTTATTCTTAACATATAACAAAACAGGAAATGATGCGCACAGCGGTAGCCTAGTAATGGAGGCTGTGGTCCTCCAGGCGGGCGGCCCGGGGGTCCAAGTCGACCTGTGGCTTCCTTCCTGCATGCCATTCCCCACTCTGTCTCTCTCTCTTCCAGAATGATTTTGTTCATGTGGAAAGACCCAAAAATCAGAGAGAGAGAGTGGGGAATGGCATGCAGGAAGGAAGCCACAGGTCGGCTTGGACCCCCGGGTCGCCTGCCTGGAGGACTTCAGCCTAGGCTACCTGCGACCCCTCTTCCAGATTTCTGACTCCATACTGATTTATTTTGATCAACATGTAACACTGCAGGAGGAATGAGCTCCATGAGAACTTCATGTTTGGCAACAAATGAAGCGAGTGGATAAATGTTTTTGAAATGCTTAATTGTTGTAGTAATGTATCAGCCAACCTGCAGAGTTCAGATTAACACGCTGTCAGTGAACACACCGCAGTAAATAATGATGTTTGACTTTGCAGCTGAGCCAGAAAACCTTGATCAAACTCCTGCAGATAACAAAACAAAGACTCAGAGTTAATGTAGAGTAACAGCTGGTGCAGTGTGTGTCTGGCCTAACAGACTGCCCCCCCCCCCCCCCCCCTCCCCCCCTGCTGTGTGCGGCGCCCCCTTTAGGCCTGTCAGAGAAGAGCGTAGAGAAGATTGTAGGTAAGCAGGCAGCGCTAGGCTGGTCGGCTGCTCTCTGTCCAATAACTCACTGCTTTGGACCAGAGCTGGAGATGGCACTGAACACGGAGCAGGAGGAGAAGAGGCTGCTGAGGGAGCAGATCCACAACCTGGAGGTACACACACACACACACACACACACACACACACACACACACACACACACACACACACACACACACACACCTGACACATGTGACACACACACAATAAAAGAGCGAACACGCTGGATGTGAACATTGATGAAAACACTGAAACAAAAGTCAAATACATTAAAAACATCTTTCTGGACACGTTGATGTGAAACATATTACAAATCACACTTTTAACTTTTCACAAAGGACCCTCTGTCGTGGTTTTCCTCCCCCCCCTCATCCCAGCATCATTTCTGCGCAATGCAGTAGCCTGTTTGCTGTACTCGCCCCCGTTGGTAGAAGCGATCTTTAAAGTCTTTATATGTGATTTTTCACTCTTAAATGTAGAGATCAAGTATCCTCTGAAAATAACTCTGTGAGTCATGACTGTCTACAATGGGTGTAACACCCGAGTCCCACTGTCTGTGATGTTTTCAGAGTTTTCAGAGTCCTATCTTCACTTTGTTTACATCGCCAGGACGGCCGGCTGACTCCTCCCCTCGTGTATAAAAGTTGTTTAATTGAGGGACTAGAGAAAAGAAGAATAACATACTGTACTCACTGCTTAACTGTGTTTCTAGATCACGCTCATTTCAGGTAAATTTACATGCAGTGTGAAGATACCAGCATAATAAAGATCACTAGCATTAGCATGCTAACACAACAATGCAGCGCGAGTTGTTTTGGTTTCAAGCTGGTGCTCAAGGGCGACATCTGCTGGATCAAAACATCACATACAAAGCCTTTAAAATGACAGGAGTTTGTTTGAGGTTTGTTTTGTCTCCTTGGATCTGAAACGTTTCTCTTCTGTCTCCTCAAGACGTCCAAACAGGCAGAAATCACCAAACTGCAGGAAGAGATCACAAAGGTAAATACAAAGGTCATACAACACAAAACACTTTTAGAAAGTATCAACAACATGAGAAAGCTGCATCAGAGCGTTCAGTGATAATGCTCCGGTGACCTGGAACAAACTTTCAGTAAAGTGTGAGCTCCTTTAAAGCTGAAGACTCACCTTGTCGGGGTGATACCTGTAGTCTGACTTTCTGTTTGTCTCTCCTGCAGCTGTCTGACAAGTTAAAGAAGAAACAGGAGAGGTGAGAGGTCAAACGTTTATGAAAATGCACTATGGTCATGATCTGTGAGCTGAAGTGGCAGAGCCTCTCCTCCAGGGGGCGTACAGGTTCTGTGTTTCAGTTTCACACAGAACGAACAGGAAGTGAATACAAAATATGTGTTTTTTTCTGTTCTGCAGTTTTCAGCGTCTGCAGGGAGAGAAGGAGGCTCTGTACAATGACAGCAGGTCAGAACTGCACACACACACACACTGATGCTGCAAGACCACACTGACCGAGACCAAGATGTACCCGAGACCACAGGGCTCCGAGACCGAGACAAGACCAAGACCAAGACATTTAGGGATCAAGACAAAGTCAATACCAAGACCAAAACAGGACAAGACCAAGACCATAAATATCACTGAAGAATCATCATGTTGTGTTTAGGGGGCGTGTCACTCACTTAGACCGTAACACCGGGAAGTTTGTGGTTGTAACCGGGGGATAAAAATCAAACTAGCCTCTCAGTGGTGGTCTTCACCGGTCTTGATTTAAAATCCGGAGTCTGTCCAGTCTGAGACCGGGACAAGACTGAGTAAAAAAGCCTTTGATTTTGAGACCAGGACCGGTTTCGAGTCCTACAACACTAGCCCGAGGTTCTCACTGTATCTCATGTGGTGCACCAGACGCTGATGTTTGTGTCTCTGCAGGACAAAGATCGATGAGATCAACCAAAAAAAAGAGGAGGAGCTGAAAGCCATGAACCTCCGCGTCCAGAAACTACAGTCAGACCACATGGCAGCCAATCAGGTGAGACCTCAGTAACACATATTAAAAGATGCTTTTCCCTTCTTGCACCGCTCTTTCTAAAGATGTCAGAATCTTAAAGCTAATCCCCCGTATCATAGTCTTCACATGTTGTTTTTATTCTGACCTGTCTCGGCCCTTTAAGGGTCCTGCAGTGTCTCACATTAAGTGATCCTGTGTTTGTGTTTTGTTCAGATGACGGCAGAGCTGAGAGAGCAGCTGCAGAGCAAAGACAAAGAACATGAAGTGGCTCTGCACAGCCTGAGAGACCACGTAACACACACACACACACACACACACACACACACACACACACACACACACACACACACACACACACACACACACACACACACACACACACACACACACACACACACATACACACACACACACACACACACACACACACACACACACACACACACACACACACACACACACACACACACACACACAAACACAAACACACACACACACACACACACACACACACACACACACACACACACACACACACACACACGTTCAGGAGACGGCGCCCTTTAGCTTCACCTTTTTAACGGGCAGATTGCTGCAGTTTCGAGCAGATTTCAACAACAACATGGGGGTCGTACAATTCACATGTGAATAGAGCATTTATCCATGTGCCGGAACTGTGGGGAGGAGAGAGAGGGGGATGACATGCAGCAAAGGGCCGAGGTGGGACTCAAACCCACAGCTGCTGCAAGGACTAAAGTCTCTGCACGTGGGCACGCAACATAAACAGAAAGCTACCGGTGCTCCTTCAGGAAGTTTTCAGAAGTTTTGTGTAGGTGTAAAAGCTCCAGAAGTTAAACCCCAAGGTGGGTAGAGGGAGGGAAGGGGGGAGGAAGGAGGGTAAGGGTTGGAGGGAGGAGGCGGGGCTTATTGGGACTGTAGTATCTTCTGCTCTCTCACTTTTCTGTGACGACACTTCCCTGCCAAAGTGATTCAACTTACGGAGCACATTTCTTTAAAGAATAAAAACAGAGATGCATGGACGAGAACTGAGCTGACTTTGGCAGTGAAGTGTCCTCCTGTAGTGTTTGTTTGCTGCTGCTCTGTGTCTCTGACCTGCCTTATCTCTCCTTCTCTCTCTTTTTATTCTTCTCTTTTGGTTGTGTCTCTATTTGTGTGTCCTTCTGTTCTGTTTTGGTTTCTCCTTTCATTTTTTTTACTTTTTCTGGTCTTTTTTTTCCCTCGTTTCCCGTCTCTTCTTTCTGGTTCTTTCTCTCTGCCGCCCCCTGCCTGTGGTGCACGGTACTGCAGGTAGCCAGTCAGAGTGTCAGTCAGGAACAGGTGGACAACATCCTGCAGGAGAATGATGCTCTGAGGACAAACCTAGCTGCTCTAGAACAGGTAATGAACCAGAGGATCATCTTCTAGAGGTCTAACACCAAACCAGACTCTGCTGCAGATCCTGTGCGCTCTAGAACGGGTACTACACCTTGAGAACCCTAACAGTAAAGTTTCCACCAAGCGGTTCAGTTTTATTCGGCACAGATCAGTACGCATTTAATGGCGTTTCCACTGTCAGGAGTTGTAAATGGTACCAAATCCCTACAGTCCTACTTTTTTGGTTCCCTTCTTTTGGGGCGCTAAGTGTACCGATCCGACCCTAAGGGGCGGAGCTACAAACACTGCAGTCCGTCGATTGGTTGTCTGACTCATGTTTTTCTCTTGAACAAATTGAAGTTACACCCCCAATCAGAGTTCTACAGACTAGCTAAAGCCTGGCTCACACTGTGCGATTTTTCCCCGATTGTATAAAAGTCGGGGTGACATGTCAGCTCACACTGTACGACCGAATCGTTTACGACGCCCGACCAGACCTTGAGATTGACAAGCTCACACTGTATGAGTGAAATCGGGACGGAGCGTTGACAATTGTTAATAAAGTTTAATTTGAAAACTCCAACGGATGGCGGTTGGTGAAAGAGAAGGAAGTGGAAATTGTTGTAGGATAGAGGAAAGTTGAGACAATCGTAGATATATGGAGACAAGTTTCAGAAAAGTGCTGCGCTGATGATCTGTACCGGGTTGCGTCCTGCCGCTGGTCGCCATGACTACAGTCCTCCCTTGTCTCTCGTGATTATATTGTAGTCACACACAACTTCTGCCGGACCCTTTCATGACATAAACATCAAGATTTTAATTTCTAAATATTAAACATGTTTGAAATAAATCGGGGCGTTAAGATTGGATCTTTGGACCGCTCACACGACGAGATAATCTGAGCAGAGAATCGGGTCCGAGCAGCCTCGAGTCGGGAGAGACCCTGAGATTGTCGGGAAGAAGGAAGAATCGGAGCTCAAATCTGCCCGATTGTCCTGCAGAGTGAGCCAAGCTTTAACTGCAAGAAACACATGGTTTATCTGGAAAACTTTCTGAAGAAGGAAGCAGAAGTTTCAAACCTTAACCTCTGAAAAAAGTATCAGGAACCAAACGTAAAGATGATGTCATTGAGACGAATCTGGAACTGTCAGTCAGCAGCTGACTCAACCTGGCCCTGTAACCCTTCCTACAGGAGAACTGTGCTCTGAGGACTAATCTGTGCGCTCTTGAACAGGTAACTATATGTTAGAACTTAGACTCCTTTAGACCCACAGCCTGAAACTAATGTAGTCTAGAACCCCTTAATCCTGCTCTGGAAGAGTCTGAAGACAAGAAACCTTCAAAAAATAACCAAACATAGAACCGACCTAGAACCAGAGACCACGTTCAGAGTCAGGACTCATTACTGAAGATTAGATATTAGAGAATCCTGAACCAGAACTCTCAAACAGAGCTCTCTACAGTGTTTAGAATTTAGACTGCACTACCCATTTTAAACGCTAGGGGTCAGCGTTACATACTGCTCCTTTAAACATGTGATAAATCGCATCTCATCTCCTTCATCTAACTCTGGTTTACCACAAACACAAATCTGCTGTAAGAACATATGTGATAATAAAATGATATGAGATTAAAGAAGTCAAATAACCGTAAAATGTAGTGATAATCAACTAATCTCCAAGTCATAATTAGAATAATGGATAAATCTTCTAGATGTTGTGTTTGTACCTTCACCTGCTCATTTCTCCTCTCTTCATGTTTTCATCGTCTTCAGCTTCATGTTTAACTTTCATGTCTGACTCCGTACCGTCTCCGTCATCAGACCACAGTAACGAGCGGTCACATGACCTGTAGTAATAATGCGAGTTGTGTTGGCGTGCAGATCCAGACGGTGAAGACGCAGGAGATGAACCTGCTGCGTGAACAGCAGGAGGCGCTGACGTCCGAGCTGCAGCAGAGACGAGTCGAGCAGGAGAGTCTGTTAGCGCAGAGAGACGACCTCAACTCCCAGCTGCAGGTAAGAAAACACTCAGGTGATAGTACGGAGGCCCTGAGCAGACAAACATCTTGATCTACACTATTTTAAGAAGAGAAGAAGTCGTTAGCGGTTATTTGTTCAACATGTCGACTTTATTATATCTTTGTTTATTTCTTGAGAAAGTGATGCTAATGAACTTTCAAGGGGAAAAGAAGTCAAACAGAAATGGCTGCCTGCAGTTAAAGGTTTGTGTTCTCTTTGCTTCGCTCCTGCAGGAGTCGAGTTTTGCAAACAGGAAGTTGTTGGAGCAGCTGACGGACGAAGGACAGGAGAAGGACAAACTGCTGAGAGAGCTGGACGAGGCCAAGAAGGTACACACACACACACACACACACACATTAACACACACACACACATGCAGGCATACACACACACACATTAACACACACACACACACACATGCAGGCACACACACACACACACACATTAACACACACACACACATGCAGGCATACACACACACACATTAACACACACACACACACACATTAACACACACACACATTAACACACACACACACACATTAACACACTCACACACGTTAACACACACACACATTAACACACACACACACACACACACACATTAACACACACACACACACACACACATTAACACACACACACATTAACACACACACACATTAACACACACACACACATTAACACACACACACACACACACACACACACACACACACAGAGAGACTCTGAGCTATTAAATGTTTTCACACACTGATCATATTCACAAGTGTGTGTGTGTGTGTGTGTGTGTGTGTGTGTGTGTGTGTGTGTGTGTGTGTGTGTGTGTGTGTGTGTGTGTGTGTGTGTGTGTGTGTGTGTGTGTGTGTGTGTGTGTGTGTGTGTGTGTGTGTGTGTGCGCGTGTGCGCGTGTGCGCGTGTGTGTGTGTGTGTGTGTGCAGACAGCAGAGAAGAGGAAGGCCATGTTGGACGACATGGCCATCCAGCTGAGCCAGGAGAAGTCTGACCACAAGGAGGCGCTGTCAGACCTCAAACTGCAGCATGAGAAGGAGGTGAGGCTGCTTTCCTGTTTCTTTCTATTTAAATAGTTTTTTGTTTATTTTTCCTTTTCAATAATTACCTTGAGGTTATCGCTGATCTTTTCCTTTCTTGTTTCCTCTCCTGGCCTTGTTTCCTTTCCTTTATTATACCAACTTCTCCCCTTACTTCCTGTCCTCTGCTTCCTTGTTTCCTTTCCTCTCTGTGTCCTGCACTTACTCTTACTTTGAATCCTTTCTTTTCACCTACTTGTTTCCGTTCCTTTCCTGTGTCCTCTCCTTCTTTCCTCTTCTGTCTTTGTCTCCTCCCCTTTATGGTATCCAACACTCCTTATTTCCTGTCCTCTCCTTCCTTGTTTCCTTCCCTCTCTGTGTTCCACTCTCCTCTCCTCTCCTCTCCTCTCCTTATTCCTCCTCATCCTCCTCCTCTCTCTCATCATCTGTCTCCTCTCACCTCCTCTCCTTGTCTCCTCCCTCCTAGGTTCTCGGGGTGAGGGCTCGTTATGAGAAGGAGCTCCGAGGTCTCCATGAAGACAAGAACCGGTCAGAGGAGGAGATCCGACAGCAGCTCAGAGATGAAAAGGTAAATCTGAGGAGACAGAAACAAAAACACGGTGAGAGTCGTCGTCTTGTTTCCGTCCCGTCACGTGATCGTTTCTGCGTCTTCAGGCTCGTACGAAGGAGTTGGAGGGTCTCCAGCAGCGGGTGGAGGAGCTGCAGGCTCAGGTTCTGTCCATGGAGGGAACCAAAGGATGGTTTGAGAGGAGACTGAAAGAGGCCGAGGTCAGTCCCTCCGTTTGAAAGTTTACAAACACTTTTCTGCAAAACATGAATAAAAAAAACATTTACACGCTCACATCCTCGCCGCTCTGTAGGAGGGCGAGGAGCGTGCACGTGTTGTTTCTTCATAAAGTCACAGCGCCAACTACTGGTCAGACATGTGTACTGCAGCGTTATTTAGTTGTGTTTACAGATCCATGTGCACAGCGGTAGTTATCAAACCTAAAGCATAAATGAGGGAGCAAACATGTGGCGCTGCCGGCCTGCTCGCCGTCGCTGTGTTTCCTGCGCAGCTTCCAATACACACTGAATGGAGGAGAATTTAAAATGCGTCAGGTCGTGTGCAACGTTTGATGGTGGCGGCGGCACTCGCAGTAATGACATCACACGTGTCAGCATTTTAAACTGGTTTATTGTTCTCACTGGTTTATAGGACGCCGCTAACTCTTTAGAAGTAAGAGGAAGTATCAAAATGGCGTCCTATACACGCCGGGTTTAACGCTGTTTTTATCTTTATTTATCTGAGAGTTTATCGATCTCTCTGCAGGAGAACATCGAGAAAAAGTCTCTGGAACATCAGGAGGAGTTTGAGCGCCTGAAGAAGGAACACACACTCCAGCTTGAGGTACGTACACACACACACACACACACACACACACACACACACACCTGCACACACACACACATACACATACACACACACACACGCACGCACACACACGCACGCACACACACATACACATACACACACACACTAACACGCATGCGCACACGCAGGCACACACACACACACACACACACACACACACACACACACACACACACACACACGTTTTTCAAGAAAAACGTGTTTCATCATCTTTGTAAATATAAATAAACGTGTGTGGGTGTTTGTTTATACACACAGTCAGTGTAGGTGTGTGTAATGTGTGTGTTTGTGTGTTTGTTGTGTGGCATCAGGGGTCCAGCTCTAATTGAATGTGTGTTTCTAATTAAAGCGTAGAAGTCTCCATGGTAACGCAGACAGGTTAAAGCGTGTTAACAGCAGATCAGAGCGGAGGAGTGATTGATCCGAGTTCTTCTTCTTCTTCTTCTTCTTCTGTTGGACCTCATGAGTCATCCTCTGTGTTCGCTCCTCTCTGCAGCGGAGGACAGGTGTGTTGTTTACCTTCAGACACAGAGCTGGAGGAGTGAGGAGGCTCAGAGAGAGACTTCTGCTATTTCTGTTTCTGCAGTTAAAGAAACATTCTTCCACTTCTTCCTGTTAGTAGAGAACTTTACTTTTACTGCAACAGGACGGGTCGTGACAGAAAGAGTAAGATCACTGATACAAGCGGCCGAAAAGAGTTTCCTCTGGACGTTGTCAGCCTTAGAGAGAGGGGGAGGAGCTTAGACATTCAGGGGGAACTCGGAGTAGAGCTGCTACTCCTTCACATCTAAAGGAGCCAGCTGAGGTGGTTTGGGGGTCTGATCAGGATTCTCCTGGAGGCCTCCCTTTGGAGGTTTTCTGGGAACTCCCAAATGGGTGGAGTAGACCCAGAGTTCACTGGAGGGATTATATATCCGCCTGGGAACGCCTCAGAATCCCCCGGGAGGAGGAACAGGAAGAATTCATTTTTTTCTCTAAGCAGAAATAAAATGGATGGATGGAGGGATGCAACAGGATGTGAAAATGTCAGAATGACTTCACTCGAGCGCTGATGGCCTAGCGATTAGGTCGCGTTCCATGTACAGAGGCTGTAGTCCTCCAAGCAGGCGGCCTGGGTTCAAGTCCGACCTGCAGCTCCTTTCCTTCATGTCATTACATCACTCTCTCTCTCTCTCTCTCTCCTGTCTAAACAAAGGCAAAAAGCCCGGATCCCAATGTGTTAAATCTTGATAAAGAAGTTGTTTCTAATCGTACAAACTCACCAGAACAACAGCTAAAGGAAACAGCTACTGACATTAAATCTAAAGGTTTGTTAGGCACCCGTCTAGGGGGGCAGGTTTGTAACATAAAAACCTGAAACAATTTACTTCCCCGGTCTCCAAACCAAAGGCAAAACTAATCTTGTGATTTAAACAAGGATTTATTTTATAACACAAATTCAAACACCTATCAAACAAAAGACAATCTCTAAACCTAACTTTTTAACAAAACCAAAAACAGAAGAAAAAGTGAGCACAAAAGAAAATGGCAGTAAACTGCTTCTCAAACTATTTTTTTTAATGTACTTTCAGCAAATTCTGGACGGAAATATTAAAGAGTTTTACCGGCACATCGGATGCCTGGAGTGGAAGCGAGGCGTTTATTTTATTCCACTTAAACGTCTCTGCTCCGACTCTCTGAAACACTTTATTTCCTCTGTGAGATCAATGAGAGTTTTTTCTGGTTCTGATTCTGGTTCTGAAAAACATGACAAGTGCGTCTGAAGTTACATAACAGGTGTCTGTTTGTCAGCGGAGCACATGTCTGATCCATGTCTGTATCAGCTGTCTGTAAACCTGCAGGAGGAGGAGCTTCTGTCCCCGGGTTGTGACAGCTGAATGATGAGACAGGTGTTCTGTTACAGACTGCAGAGTGTTGCTGATTCACCTGCAGCACATGTTCACTGAGGTGTTGTGTTTGTTTCCTACAGTGAGGAAGGCTCCACTCACACAACCGTCATTCCATCTATCTTTACATCCAGATACCAGCGTGTGGATCTGTGTGATCAGTTTTAAGGCGACCTCACACGGCCGTTTTGGACGCCCCTCTGTTTGTCAGATATGAGAGCAGTTATCAGGTCAACAGGTGTTGCAGCGATGGAAGCGGTCAAGACAAGTGGTTCAGATAGAAGTGATTGTACCCGACCTAAAAAGCCTCTGCATGTTTCTAATAAGCTCCACGAGCAGAAACGTGCTCAAACTAGGATCAATATTGGAGATGCTTTTGAAAAATGGAGAGAGGTTAGAACACAGAAAGGTTTACAGACCCATGCAGAGCTGGATAAACACTGAA